AAATAAAGTGAAAATCGTATGTTTTAGCCTTTCTTAGACCGATTTATGTGCTTTTCAGTTCACGATATTTTGTTCACAATTTCAATAATTATTCTGGAAAAAAGGAGTGAGTAAATGATCTGAAATTTTGCACACAATTTACTAGTCTAGACCTGCATCAAATGGAACATTATTCTCGAAAAACCTATTTCTTGACTTGTTATGTCAATAAAACACAGAAGATTCCCTTTACAAGCGTGTAGTGTCCCTTTAAAAGCGGCGTGTAATTGAGTATGTTGTATTCTTATCAACTGCAAATTGTACATTAATCTAAGAACTAAATCATAACTCAGATATATGGGTTCTTTTGAAAGAACCACAGAGATAATGATTTCAATTAGCGCAATTAGTTTACTATATCATGCGTATGTAACCTTGCTTGTCCTTTCTTGCTATGTTTGTTATCAGAAGTCAGAAGGCTATGTTTTAAACAATTATTATCTTATAGCAGGAGCCGTTATCGCCTATTCTATCCAGGACAACTTTATTATTATTTACAGTCCAACATTGCAGATACAAAATTTACCGCTTCGTTTAATTTGCACTAGAAGACAGATGTTCCGTTAATCAGCACACACTTGGCGGAATCAGATGCATTTTATAGCACGTGCGTGTTATAATAGACCTTTGTTCCAAACGTCATAAAACATTTTTATTTCGTTGCTGGACTTTTGTTGGACCGTATCATCAAACAAAATATAATGGATTATATCACCTTGATAATTTAATTCCCAAAGCATTCCCGTTTGCAGCACATAAAATGTCTGTACGTTTAGGTATATTTTTCTGGTCAATATTTGAGAGCAAGAACAACCATTGTGTCAAAGCTGAAAAAGAAACTTGAAATCATACGTGCAATGTCATGCAATTTTTATCTTCATGAACTTTAATTAATAAGCGTATGTAGGCGAGTTTCAAACTCCAGCTTATACAGTTATTCTACCGAGTAAAACCGTTGAAATAGTGCATATATTATTAAGTGATTTATTATAGTATAACACCAATATTGTATCATAGTTTGGGGACTTTTCTGTTGAAAATGTGTCAGAGTTAAATCGTATACATATACATGTACAGTGCGTTAACTGGAGTGCAGGTATTAGTTACCCGCACTCCAGAGCGTGCCCATTGATTGGTTCATTTTTGCTGGGGTTTACATATTGTGACGGAAGAGAAAGGGAAAGCGACAGAAATATCATATTCAGATGCTCGTTCATTGGTTACTTTTTCCCGGGGTTTCATATTGTGACAGCAGGGAACGTGTTTTTATGTTTGACTATGATACAAAAGAGAAAGAACACCAAAACACTCGGCAATCTGATTTATACTCGGGGGCTACGCCCCCTCGTACAAATCAGATAGCCTCGTGTTTCGGTGCTCTTTCTATTACTTATTTAGTCGAAATATTTAGAAAATACTCTAATCATTAAAATAGATAATACCCTAGTTTGCATAATATATTCAAAGGTTCATCTAGATTAGGAAACTAGCATTTTTTAAACTATGTTTTTATTTATTATCTTGTTCGCAAATTTGATTATTTGAAGATTTAGCTTACTCATTAAAAGGTGTGTCCATTTTAAATGACTGAAGTTATATAATATTATCATATTTCTTTTCATTGTGTTTTTGTCGATTTTATTGCTAATGTTTAACGCAATTTTAAAAAGTAACTGTTATGTGAACACGATAACTTTAAATGATGGACCGGTGCCAAGAAAATATCAACTTGGAATTGAACATGTGTCTAATGTTAAGACAGCGACAAAATAGTAATATCTAAAGGCATTTTATTTGTAAAAGTCCGCCTTTATTTGACCAGAAAATAATTAAAATATTCGGATATTAGATTGATAATCGCACCCACAATGATAACAGAAATAAACACCCATTTGGATGATTTGCTGTTGTTAAACACCGTCTGTTATCATTGTCTATCTAATATAAGATAACACCTTTCCAGGCTGATATTCGAAGAGCAGAAGCATCAAACGATTTTATAATTGAAACTGCCACCTACAAAATGCATACTGATTCCCGGTGGCTTTTATTTGCAACCTGGTTCAACATTTATTGCCAGTTTACGGCACCTGTGAAACAACCATAATCATTAATCCCATTCTGTATCGACATCAAATACCTTCGCGAGAAGACCATTTGTTTCTTAATTATGACTCTCACACAATAAAATATTTGTTGAAAGCATTCATTATCAAATTGTTTTTGAAGGTCACTAAAGTTTGTATCAGCTGCTATTTTGGCTCCACTAAAAGAAGAAATCTGTTGTGAAACTTTTTTTGTATGATTTTACATCGTAATGACTTTTCATTGCCATAACTTACGTTGTTTAAAATATGTGTTCAGTTTTGTGAAAAAATCCATTTTTTCAGCATTTATGTTGTAATAGATACGCTGCAGCTGACGAGTTTAAACATAAATTTGTATATTTTTAGTGACCCTTAGTCTAATGTTCCCTTATACATGTATTACATAAACGTAATCATTGCAAATTCCGCCACCAAGACGTTACAGTTTGTTATACATCATAGAAACAACATCAAAGCTTGTTGTAATTACTGAAAAACAAACTCTGAATTGCTTTGCAAGACCACACCACAGGCATTCGAAATACAATACCAACATACAGTATTCTCTTACACAACATTCAACAGAAACTTTGTGTTAATGAGTGTTGAGAAGGAACAGAGTGTCATTAGCATCATCTAGTGAAGCTTTAGAGATATTCAATACTCTCTAAGGAGACAACTGTTGCATTGTTCCCAAAGCTAACTTGTTAGATTTTACAAATTTACAAATTCAGAAGTTGCCTAACCATTTCATTTGAATGTCTCATACTTTGAAGTATCATAGTTCTGTCTTTTTGTCAGCCAGTTTGGAGTTTATGCAAAAGCGATGTTCACAAGATACAATGCAGACATACAAAGTAACACCGATCGTTTTAAATAGAATACTCAGTTGAATTAATATATTCAGTAGAGACTTTTACATATCTTAAATCTGATACCCCTCATTTTATCGAGAAAGTAAACCATATAAGTACTAGTTACCCGAATGTAGATTGTGTCCAGGGGCGACACCGGCTTGTAATATGTTTCGGGCATATAAAGCGAAATATCAATGCTATTGTCATTAAACTTTCAAAAACTTTTTTGTCAGTTATACGCATCTTCGTATACGACCCCCCAATTCGTATGTTTTAATAACGCGTATTACAACTTTCCTACGTTATAAGTATATAAGGCAGTGTGTTAGAGTTTCAAACATTACAACAAAGTTGTGTAATAGAAATAAATTCATTTGATGCAATATATATCATTTTAAGTAGCGTTTGTTAACTTGAAGGGACTAATTTAAGGGCGTATCAAACTAATGTGTATATTTTCATTCTGTGGTCTGCATTTAAAATTAATGAAACATTTAATAATGACGATGGAATTATTTTTCAAGAGAATAGTGACAGGGCGTGTGTCTGGGGAAATACCATACAAGTGGAAATAATGAGATAGTAGCGTTCCCTTTGGGGCAGTAGGCGTGGTAGATACAGTCGGTGAGATTGAAATGTTTGATATGGATTTATCGTGTGCACTTATAATATGATCAATGATATTTATACATGTATTGTAATGATTCATTTTTTACGAACATTTTGTATATAAATGTTGGCATATTGGCTTATTACATTTGCTGCGAAAGTTTTAAAACATTGCATGGTTTTAACTGTTTTGTTTTGTTTCATGAGGAGGGAAATATAATGCTGTCACATGTACTTTGTTTAAAACAAATTGTGCAAAATAATAAGCAAATTTCAAACATAAAAGTTGATGTAGAATATTATACATTCGATACATTTCGTAAACTCGATGTAGTATTAATAAAAACAAATATAAATATTAAAATGAAATGTAAAACATGTACGAAAAATGTTACTTAAGACAATTACATGTACATGTACAAATTGTTATGACCATGGATAAAGCATTGTTTGTGCCGATTAAGAAACACTTTGATATGGTACATATATTTAATTTACTTATGGAGCTCTCTCTCTCTCTTTCCTGGACACCTCTGATGGGTCAGTAAGTACCATTAAGCAGACGACAAAAATAACAATAAGAAGTAGTATATCAGATGTTTTTTCACCCATTTCTCAAACACTGGATAATTACGTTGTTGTTCAGCTTTAATTACAGAATGTCATTCAACTATAAGTGCCTCTTATGCGTGTGTTGTTCAAATTCAAGAAGCTTCTAATCGTGCCTCTCTTGTAACTAGAAGCTAATCAAGAACAACTTTGAAAACACTTCAAAGAAGGAGGCTGTTACGTAATTTGCAGGATGAGACATGAGTGGAACGATTTCATTATAGAACAGACCATAGCCAAGCAAAATAAGTCGCAGTTGAATGTAATATTCCTTAAAGGGACTCCATTGAGATGTTTTGATATGACGGGGCTGTTAATAATTTTTCGAGATTAATGTTTCATTTGATGTAGGCCTAGACCAATTACTTATGTGCAACATTTCAGAACATTCGTTCACCCCGTTTTTCAAGAATTATTATTTTACTGTGTAAAATGGCCCACACAATTGAAAAGCTTTGCAACGCTTTTCACTTAAATCGGACTAAGAATGACACAAAAATGTTCAATCAATTTCATTATATATTTCTTTAGTATCTTTTCCTGTTTGTTTTAAGTGTCCAAGCTGATCTGTATATGAAATTCAAATTTAACTATAATGGTTTTATGCTTCTGAGCCTTAATGGAGTTCCTTTGAGACATATCTAAAAAAAACTTCGGAGAAATACCCCAGGTCATATTCGACGTTGTATTGATATGGATGATTCCATTTCAATATTACAATTATGAAAACCGAGCAGATACATGTACGATACAGAACAACATAACGGAACATTTTTTCTATCTCCGGCACATGGTTCGATTTGTCTCTGTCCCGAATTGTTACGTAAACAACCGGTAATGTAGAGAAATGTTAAATGAAAAACAATTATATTGGTGCAATGGAACGAGATTCGGCTGTCTGAGAGCCTCTATCGGAGAGTATAGGCATGTTTCACTATGGTATTGGATTTTATATGATAGAGTATTTTATAAAACAACACTGCCTCGCTTCTCACAATAACAAACGACCTGCTGGAGTAAAGATGTTCTTCTGTAAGACTTAGGAAGTTATTGGAATATATTTGTATCGACGATAGTAGTAAAAGTATGGTGTGGTGAAAATTAGATAATCGAATTAAAGCTGTGATACTTGGAATATGCTACTTGTTGCTGGATTTAATTTGAAAGAACATTTTGAAATTATGTGCTACCGGATTTAAAAGACATGTTTTGTATAATCATGCATGGGAGTTAACGAAATGGGATTTTAATGACAAGCTGGGTAAGCACATTTTATTGAAAAAATGTTATTTATACATTTATAATAATGCAACTATAATTTACTAAAGAAAAAATCTTAAAACTATTTATTGCGCGACTATTTTTACATTTATGTTTAGTTACTATATTAAATGTAAATAATTATGATAAATATATTTGCTCAATTTATTCAGATGAGTTTGTTCTTTTTTTAATTTTCATTTCAATAAAATATTTCAAACAACGGATTTTAAGTAATATAATTATGTTTATATAAAATATATATTATAATGTGTAAGCTAATACCACAGTATCGTGTGAAGGTTAACTAATAATTCTGACTATACGAGGTTATGAACAGATTTTTGTATGACAATGCAACTGTTATAAAACTTAATTGTGTTACGAATCGCTCCTGAGAAAGATAATTAAAACGTTTAAAGGTAATGTTCATGTTAAGTGGATACACTACATTCCCTTTAGTTGACGTTACTGCAACTAAATTGTTGTTATCTGTATTGAATGTTGTTTTTACTGATTGACATATTTTTTAGCACAATCTTGTCTTTTATACTTTATATTTAATTCTAAACTTCAGAAATAAAATGTTTTCAAATGATGTCAGAGACAAAGTTCAGTAAAAAAATGAAATCAACCTTTCCATGCTTTGCTTATCAAATATATTGATCATTAATTACAATTATTTAATGGAACAATGATTTAACAGTAAACGTTATTAACAGTAAACGTTATTTCAGTAATGATATTTTTCTACACAATGTATAAAAGGAAATTTTATGTCTTATTATTATTAATTCAATTTTCATTACAAGGGTCAACGAACACTAACTGTTTATTAAGTCAAATAGAAACTTCTATAGGGTTAAATATACGAATAGAATTTATAAGCAAAAATTATGTGTTTAGGATTAAGGTAATAATTTAGATAAAGGGATTGTGTAAATGTAATTTTCATACACAATTTGTTATAAAAATGAATAAACAAATGGTCGTTTTCGATTTACGAAATCCTTTCCATTTTTTTGCATGTTCTGATCCTTTTTGGTTATTTATTTATACTTTTAAGTGCCAGTTGTAATGTTTAGATTACATTTTCTTCTTTATTATTTTTAATACACCTAAATATAATGAATATCAGTATGAATCTGGAGGCATACTTCTTTAAAGTCCTATCATAAACAAGCAAAAGAATTTTTATCATTATTCATTTATTACTGGAACAGCCTGCATTTTTATTTTTCGTTTAAAGAATTGGATGGGTACTAAACATCCATCATCGTAAAAGAAACGGTTGCTAATGTTCAGTAAGTACCTCCTTAGCCCACTTAAACAAATTAGGGAAAACGTGCCTTCAGGTTTCTGTGGTAAAATAAACAATACTTGAGTCAATGACTTACTTAAATTACTTTTACAACCCGAAAAAAATATAGTATTTCAAACTAAGAGTCATAGAAAAGATTTTCTATTCATACATGATGTTCTTTAAGACCTTAACATATTTTTATTGAACGAACATGAGTGTAAAAATAAGAACTAGCAATGTATAAAGGGCTTTTCACAGAAGAGTACATTTTCACTATGATAATTAAATGTCTATAAGACATAACTGATAATTGATATTATCGCTCACCGTTTACATTAAAGGTATACCATGCTCAAATTTGATATTTTAAAATATTATAAATTGCCAAAAAGTATATTTGTAAATATGCAATAAACATGTTTCGACTTCTCGCAGATTCTTTAAGAAAGGATCGATTTTACATGACCTATATTGGAAATGCAGCTTCCCATACAAGTTTTACATACTATTTTATTCAAATAAGACATATTCAGTAAGAATTTCATATATGTAAATTAATTTCTTTGATAAAAAATATTAAGCTGTTTCAGACGGAAATTCTCAACAACACTTTTTTCTAAATTATGTGCTTTTTATGGAAGAGTTATTTCTTTGCAGATAATTTTATCACAAATACCGGTTATTTTCTTGATGATAGATGAACTATTTCATCATTTTGCAAAAATGTAAAGTGATGAAATTAAATAGAATTATGAATTAAATGGATAATAATCCCTATGAATTATTGCTTGCCTCGTCATCAAATTTCGTTAAAAAGTTTTCTCCGCAGGCTTCAAATCAATGTATTGAATAAATCTATTTTTTCTCTATGTTCCCCTTTTAAAACTTATTTTGTTCGATTAAAGAATCGTGGACAATATGCATTAGATATAATTAAATATATAACACTACTCTTAATATCTATCAAAATCAGCTCCATTTTCACAATTATTCAAATTGTATGACAAATATACTTTCAAGTTGTCAAAATTATCTATCTCAGCAAATTATGACGAAAGCTTTTAGCATAATATACTTAATGAATATTAATTCCGTTATATTGTCAAGATTTATGATATTTTGTAATTTGAAAATGTTATGTAGCACATGGAATAAAACAATACAGTATTTTTATTGGCTTCACGCCAATTAAAATCAATTACAACTCTTTATCTGAAAGGAAAAGTGTAATATCAGCAAGTTGTAGACTCTAGAACATTAAAAAAGGTTGCTCAGAAAAGAATCGGTAAAAAAGCATTACTTGAACATAAACGCTTACAGCGTCATTTGTTTAGGATCGGATTTCACAGGGTTACAGTCTGCTATCACTTATTCTATCTTATCGAACTTTACCATCATTCCGTTTTAGTTGCACGTAAATTAGCTTGATTGCCTTTTGTTGTTATGTGAAGTTCACTGTAATACATTAAATATGTAAATTAAGAATCAAATATAAAGTTAAGTTTGTCGTACGATTAATGTTAGCCTATGGATTGGATTAATAAGCTTATAACTATACTCGAGCTCATGTGCATTGCCGACCAACTGCAAAGAGCAGTTACATTGTATTACGGTCGTTACACGCAGTTAGCGTAAGGTCTATTGTGCTGGCGGCTCTAAAACAAGCCTGAGGACGCGCAGAATTAATTAATCTTTACAGCAGTTTTCTGAAACAACTCTCTGTAAAAAGATGTTATTTATTAAAACATTAAGCCGACACTCAAAATGTTTATCTAGAATTTGTCGTGTTGTAAATCAGTTTTTGAAATGTGGTGAGTTTATCTCCTAGAAATGGTGTACAGTCTCCGTAAATGACATAAGTCAAGATTTGGCGAAACAATGTGCATTAAAACATCAATTTTGTATAAGCAGTGGTGTTTTCTATATCCATGTATAAATGAGATTAATGTTTTTGTATGCAGTGTGAAATATATATAAACTGACGGCTGTGATTGTTTTGTCTAGTTCACACATACATTCAATTTTTTGAGATGATTATATGTGACGTATATTGCTTCATCTAGGGCTCGTATAAAATGTTATATGTTACAAATATCAGTATAAACATGCTGAACTAATCTTTGCCTATCAAATGCGATATATATTACGAGTATCAGCATTAACATTTTGAATTAATCATTTCTTTATGGGATTGGGGTTTATATGTAATAGTTATAAATCTAACATGTCATGTTAAAGGGACTCCACTGAGTTTTTTATATGACTGGGCTACAAATAATTTTTCGAGAATAATGTTCCATTAGATGACGTCTAGACCAATATCAATGCACAATGTCAGATCATTTGCTCTGTCCGTTTCTTCCAGAATAATTAGTTTAATTATGAAAAATGACCCAAAATTGAAAAGCGTTCTAACGAGTTTCACTCAAATCGGACTAAGAGTAGCACAAAATACGACTTCCATTTTATTTTTGAGTAAACTTATTGATTATCTTTTGCATTCTTAAAAATTCTAAGTGCCTCTGTGATCTATGTGTTAAATTCAAATTATATGTTCTTAGTGGAGTTCCTTTAAGGCATATGTTTGTTTGGCATATTTCATCAACTGGAACCATTTCTTCTTAAATTGTTACCTTACTTCTCGTTTTTGTTGCACTCTTATATTAACGTATCAAATACTTTATTAAATCTGTTTATTACTCTATTAGATATTGATGGTAATAAAGTAAATATACAGAAGGAATAAGCAGGTATATGATTTGAAGTTCCTTAATTATATTATATTATATTATATATGACTAAATGACAATATTCAAGGTCAATCAAAAATGTGTATGGTAATCAAAGACAACGGCCAAGGAACAATCTTGAGTACAAATGTTAAAAGGTCATATTCTAGCCATAAAAATGTCTTATCATCAGTTATAATTGATAGGACTTACAACGACCGCTTGCATATTCTACGAGCATTCTACGAGCATTGCCAATTTAATCAATAAGCCCGTGCCATATCTCGTGCTATTAATACATTTTATTATTCGTCATAAAGATAACGTCCATTTTCTATATTGCTTTAATTTGCCTGACATATTCCTCTCCAAGAAGTTATTGATGAAGTACGCAGATAAAAAATCATTGTCGTTATCACTCATTAAGTTTAACTGACAATTCACGTGCATTTGGCACGGTGCACACATAGTTGGGGATTACTTTTGCAGTTAATATCTTACACGTTCGTCATACTGCGCTTAGATGGCGCTGATTTGAGGTAATTGCTGCTGATTAAAAGCATTGGTGAGACAGGCTTTGACTGTAAGGCATATTTGTTCGTAGTCGTATTCGTTGGCAGCTCAGGCTGTCTCCAAACTTTTCTGTTTAATCTGACGATATGTCATAATCATGGAACAGTAAATATTTTTTAAAGTACATTTTAAAAATTACTTTAAAATAGAGTGTTTCAGAACTTCAGCTGCACAGCATGGTTTTGTATACCTCTTTCCATAACACACATTAATACACTTTTATTCTTGCGCAGTTATTTTGTTTGTCGTAAAAAGGACGTTTCATCAATTATTCTATGTCAATAACATTTAGCTGTAATTATCTCTTTAAGTACTAGTCCATAAACATAGTTGCCTAGTTGGCCGTCATCTTTCATTTATAATTCCGTTTTTTGTTAGAACGTTTGAAGGCCTTCT